TGTGAATGGTAGATTATTTATTACATTCTATTTTTACTTTTTTCACTTAGCACATTGTTTTTAAGATCCATTCATGTTGCCGTATGGATATGTAATCTACTGCTTCCAATTACTATGTAGTTAAAATGACTATAAAATTTATCATCATAATCATGAGAATGAATGGAGGTGCCATTATTACACTGGGGTAAAAGGGCCATGCAGGGCAAGCCAGAATGTATGATCACCCTGTGCTCCTAAATTCCATGCTGTTCTTCCATTTTTTTTTTTTTTTTTTTTTTTTAGGCAGAGTCTCACACTGTTGCCCAGGCTGGAGTATAATGGTGAGATCTCTGCTCACTGCAACCTCCACCTCCCACATTCAAGTGATTCTCCTGCCTCAGCCTCCTGAGTAGCTGGGATTACAGGTGCCTACTACCAAGGCCGGCTACTTTTTCTTGTACTTTTAGTAGAGAAGGGGTTTCACTATGTTGGCCAAGCTGGTCTTGAACTCCTGACCCTGTGATCCGCCCACCTCGGCCTCTCAAAGTGCTGAGATTACAGGTGTGAACCACTGCGCCCAGCCTCTTCCACAACATTTTATTGATCCACTATTCCAGTGATGGATATCCAGGTTGTCTCTAACTCACTGCTACCAAAAATAACTTTTCAAATAGCCTGGTACAGACCTCATTACAGATCAGCTTATGTGAGAATTTCCTTTCTTTTATTATTTATTTATTTATTGCAGTTTTTACAGTATTATTTAAGCACAAAACGTGCACATAAGCTGTCTACTCATTCTCTTTGCTGCGCAGCCTGGCATTGGGGTTGGTGACTCCGACGGCCAGCTGGGCAGCTTTTTCCATGATGGCTTTGTGGTTCTTGGAGGAAACACTGTGAGCAATCTCAGCACAGTAAGATTTGTTGCACATCAGCAGCACTTCCAGGTCCTTCATGCTGTGGACCAGGAACTTCCGGAAGCCACTGGGCAGCATGTGCTTTGTTTTCTTGTTGCTTCCATAACCAATGTTAGGCATCAAGATCTGGCCCTTGAACGTTCTACGAACCCTGTTGTCAATACCTCTGGGTTTCCGCCAGTTATGCTTAATTTTGACATATCGGTCTGACTGGTGCCGGATGAACTTCTTGGTTCTCTTTTTGAGGCTATTGGGCATTATAAGGGGTCTAAGGGTAGCCATGATGCCAAGGAGGAGATGCCTGCCACCTCCGTAGGCAGTGCTGAGGAAGAAACGAGAATTTCTTAACCAAAAAGATATCCATAATGATTTGTAAATTTCTGATACAGGAATTATGAATACCTATATTTGCAAAGTGACAAATGAGAATAAAGTGTAGTAGAGTACTTAGTGTAGCATTGAAGGTTTTTGTAGTAATGAAAGGTATGGCTGGAAAGGTTGTTTCAGGGTAAAACTTTAGGAGAGCCACGGATGCTGTAAACTTTGTTAGTAAATGAAAGTTTTTACTATCTTGATAGTAAATGAAAGTTTCTGAACCAGGGATTAGGTGACAAAAATTATATTCTAGGAAGATATATCTGATGTACCAGATCAAATGTACCAGAGACTAAAAGGAGGAGGCCTATTAAAGGAAAAGTTGAATGCCAGTATAGTATAGAAGTTAGTTACAGCACAGCATGGATTCTGAAGCTGGACTGTTCTGTTTCAATCTAGTTCTACCACTTATTAGCTTTATGATCTCACTTAAGCTATATGTGCCTCAATTTTCTCATCTCCAATTGCAGATTATTGTGGTAACTTTTCACAGGATTATAATGGTTTCAAGAGCTTATAATTGTATCTGGTACATAAAAACTGCTCTCCATGTTAGCTATTATTAATTATAATTGCTTCAATAGTCCAGGAAAAAATAAAGATTAGTTTAAGCTAATGTGATCGTATACTACCTTCAGCACCCAGAACTAATGCCCTGAAAGAAGTATTCTAATGTGTCATCATCTAATGTCTCATTCACAGACTCCCTAACTTCCATAGTAAGAAAACCCCCTAAAGGCCTTAGAGTAAGGCAAAAAGAATATATATTTTTAAACCTGTTGGCTCTCATTAGTGTAGCTTGCTAACTCCTGAGCCAGACATCACAATAACATAATAAAGATTCAAATTGGCTGGGCTCAGTGGCTCACATCTGTAATCCCAGCACTTTGGGAGGCTGAGGCAGGTAGATCACCTAAGGTCAGAAGTTTGAGACCAGCTTGGACAACATGGTGAAACCCCATCTCTACCAAAAAGAGAAAAATTAGTCAGGCATGGTGGTGGGTACCTGTAATCCCAGCTACTTGGGAGGCTGAGGCAGGTGAATTGCTTGAACCCAGGGAGTGGAGGTTGTAGTGAGCCAAGATCATACCACTGCCACTCCAGCATGAGTGACAAGAGTGAGACTCTGTCTCCAAAAAAAAAAAATAAAAAAAGATTCAAATTAATGATAAATCATAGTTGCCACAAACACAATTGTTAAATGTCAAGTGTTATTCATTATGTGTTTATTTCCTCTGGAGACTCAATATTTATCTTTTTAATTTGTCATAGGCTTATGGTATAATAAGGTTATTAATCCATCTTTTCAGGAATACAAATTTCAACCAAAGAAACCTCCTTACCTAAGTGTTAAATAATTCTAACATTAGGATATGGAAAGGTACATAGGAGCTGCTGAAATTGAAGAACTGACTTTTAAATTGTTCTTTATCAAATGGATCTGAGAAGCTGGGTGAGGCAGATGCACCTTTAATCCCAACTACTCAAGAGGCTGAGGCAGGAGATCATTTGAGTTTAGGAGTTCTAGTCCAGCTTGGGGAACACAGCAAAAACATGTCTCTAAAACGATCTGAGAATGTTGGAATACTATACTCTCTGAATACTGCAACTCTGTTCTGGATAGGAAATTTAATATTTAGTATAAACTAAATAATATTAATGTGATTATTCTCATTTAAAATATCCAAAATATTTTTATAACTTATTTATAATAATATATGCATTTTGTTCTTGAGGTCTGATTATAAATTCTCAAATAATTTGCAACAAAAATGAACACTTAGTATTTGTTTTATGTCCCCCTAAATAAAACATAATGTAAAAAATTAACATTTAAAGCAAGGAAATAACTACAGTTCCAGCATAAATGTCACATTCTTTAAGCAATATTCCCAAAACAGCAATCTAAAGGTTATCTCTTACCCCTCTGTTCTCTTACAGCACCAGGTTTACATCATACACTGCCTTATATTCTGGTAATCTGTATGAGTATCTTTTTTTCTACTTGATTATAAAGGCCTTAACTGGCTGATTCATCTTCGGATCTACTACTGCCTGTAGCATTCTGCAACAAACAGTAAGCAGTTAATATGTGCTGAATGACAAAATGTATTAAAATTTACATTAAAAAATAAATTCAGCCGGGCACAGTGGCTCACCCCTGTAATCCCAACACTTTGGGAGGCCGAGGCAGGTGGATCACCTGAGGTCGAGAGTTCAAGGCCAGCCTGACCAACATGGAGAAACCTCGTCTCTACTAAAAATACAAAATTTTCTGCGCGTGGTGGCAGGTACCTGGAATCCCAGCTACTCATGAGGCTGAGGCAGAAGAGTCACTTGAACACAGGAGGCAGAGGTTGAGGTGAGCCGAAATCACGCCATTGAACTCCAGCCTGGGCAACAAAAGCGAAACTGTCTCAAAAAAATAAAATAAAATAAATAAATAAAATCATGCTTACCATCAGAACATAACTTTAACCCATATCTCCATAATTAAATTCTATTTTCTAAAATCTCATAAAAAATTCAAAATGTTTCACACACTTTTAAGCACTTTGCAAATGTTAAATTCAAAGTATCACTTTTCTAGAATTTTGTGTTATTTTTATTAACCTAATGACACTATACTTTCTGCAAAGAAATGGTCACCATTTACTTTATTTTGAGACAGAGTCTCGGTCTGTCACCCAGGCTGGAGTGCAGTGGTATGATCTCAGCTCACTGCCACCTCTGCCTCCCAGGTTCAAGCGATTCTCCTGCCTCAGCCTCCCAAGTAGCTGGAATTATAGGCACCTGCTACCATGCCCCCCTAATTTTTTGTATTTTTAGTAGAGACTGGGTTTCACCATGTTGGCCAGGCTGGTTTTGCACTCCTGACTTCAAGTGATCCACCCACCTCGGTCTCCCCAAGTGTTAAGATTACAGGGGTGAGCCACCGCGCCCGGCCATGTCACCATTAATTTTAGCAACGTATCAAAAGTTCAGCTTCCAACTACCTACAATAAAATGTATCATAATACTAACCCCGAACCTTTCATATGTAATGCCTAAAAAGTTACACCCTGTAACATTACAGGGCAGAGCTCCCTGAGAAGAGTCAGACCCTGCAGCAGGGCTCTGCCTTCCCACCGTCAGCCCTCGGAGTCATCGAGGTTTATCAATCCCCGTGGAGCAGGTCACCGAGCCCTGTGAGCAGGGACAGGGCGACGGGGATGAGTTAAACCCGAGCCGGAGGCCCGGCCTGCTGCGCTCCCGCCCGGAAACCTCCGGTGGGACCCTGGAGTCCAGCGGCGCTGCCTGAGGCTGTGGTGCACAGAAATACAGTAGTTGGGCGGGGGAGCGGGGAGAAAGAGACAAAAACAATCTAATTAACTTCCAGCCTGATAAACAGAAGAGAGAACACAAACCAAGGGAGCAGGAAAACTACGCCAGCACTCGACTACGGGTCGCAAGCGCCGGGTACACACAGTTAAAAATCAACGGAACGCCCCCGGGACTTCTCCGGGGTGTAAAACGCAGTGCCCTCTATTGGCCATCGCGACCTCGCCTGGCGGTGCAGTCAGGATTCCGTCCCCCAGCCACGCCCAGGCTCTCGAGAGTATGCGCATTAGCCCCGGAAGGGTTCTGTGGAACGAAACTTTCTTACCCTATCGTTTCCACACGGAAAGATTTTAATTCACCGGAAGCGATTGGCGTTAAAGGGCACAGCGAAAAGGAAGCTGGTATCAACGTGATCTCGCCTAAGGGACCGAGCGGAAGTCCTGGAGTCCACGCCGCGCGGAGTGCATGCTGGGGGCCGGAAAAAAGAGGAAATTCCGGTAGCCGATCCGGCGACTGCAAACTCCGGTGGTAGGGGAGCGCGCGGCAGTTTAAAGCCACGAGGTGCCAGAGCGCCTGATTCCTGCGCCGAAGTCAGAAGTGGCGGGAAGTCCGCAGTCGCTGTAAAACCTGAGACTGTGTGTGAGCCATGGTGGGGAGATCCCGGCGGCGCGGAGCAGCTAAGTGGGCAGCTGTGCGAGCCAAGGCAGGTCCCACCCTCACCGACGAAAATGCAGATGATTTAGGATTGCCACCCTCACCGGGGGACACCAGCTACTACCAAGATCAGGTAGATGACTTTCATGAGGCACGAGCCCGGGCCGCCTTAGCTAAGGGCTGGAATGAAGTACAGAGTGGAGACGAGGAGGATGGCGAGGAGGAGGAGGAGGAGGAGGTGCTAGCCCTAGATATGGACGATGAGGAGGACGAAGATGGAGGGACTGCGGGGGAGGAGGAGGAGGATGCTGATGATGATGATGGTGGGAGCTCCGTGCACAGTGAAGCTGAGGCCTCTGTGGATCCCAGTTTGTCGTGGGGTCAGAGGAAAAAACTTTACTATGACACGGACTATGGTTCCAAGTCTCGAGGCCGGCAGAGTCAACAGGAGGCAGAGGAGGAGGAAAGAGAGGAGGAGGAGGAGGCACAGATCATTCAGCGGCGCCTAGCCCAAGCGCTGCAAGAGGATGATTTTGGTGTCGCCTGGGTTGAGGCCTTTGCAAAACCAGTGCCTCAGGTAGATGAAGCTGAGACACGGGTCGTGAAAGATTTAGCTAAAGTTTCAGTGAAAGAGAAGCTGAAAATGTTGCGAAAGGAATCACCGGAACTCTTGGAGCTGATAGAAGACCTCAAAGTCAAGTTGACAGAGGTGAAGGATGAGCTGGAGCCATTGTTACAGCTGGTGGAACAGGGGGTCATTCCACCCGGAAAAGGAAGCCAATACTTGAGGACCAAGTACAACCTCTACTTGAATTATTGTTCGAACATAAGTTTTTACTTGATCCTGAAAGCTAGGAGAGTCCCAGCACATGGACATCCTGCCATAGAAAGGCTTGTTACCTACCGACATTTGATCAACAAGCTGTCAGTTGTGGATCAGAAGCTGTCCTCGGAAATTCGTCATCTGTTGACACTTAAGGATGACGCTGTAAAGAAAGAACTGATTCTCAAAGTAAAATCCACCAAGCCCAAACCAAAGTCTGTTTCAAAGACTTCTGCTGCTGCCTGTGCTGTTACAGATCTTTCTGATGATTCTGATTTTGACGAAGAAGCTAAACTGAAGTACTATAAAGAACTAGAAGACAGGCAAAAGCTAAAGAGAAAGAAAGAAGAAAACAGCACTGAAAAACAGGCTCTTGAAGATCAAAATGCAAAGAGAGCCATTACCTATCAAATTGCTAAAAATAGGGGACTTACTCCTAGGAGAAAGAAGATTGATCGCAATCCCAGAGTGAAACACAGGGAGAAGTTCAGAAGAGCCAAAATTCGAAGAAGAGGCCAGGTTCGTGAAGTTCGTAAAGAGGAGCAACGCTATAGTGGAGAATTATCTGGCATCCGGGCAGGAGTTAAAAAGAGCATTAAGCTTAAATGAAGTTTTTGCTTAGCATAAGGTTTTTGGCAATTTTGGATCAATAAATTTTTACTTTTAACTAAAATGATTGTATTAATGTATAATACTTTAAATTTTAAAAATTCTTGTCCACAGGGAAATTTGGGTTATGGGACAATTTATATTAAGGTTATATAAGAACTGTGGGAGCAATATGAAGGTGCTTAAGAGATGATGTTGAAGTTTTCCAATATTCTGTTAAGTATTAGCTTAGGGAAATTTCACAGTTCATTGTAGGAATGTTAACCAAACTTAGAACATGTGTAACTTTTTGCATAAGGAGAATGCACCTTTGACCGTTATTTGAAAGGCAGCCTATAAAATAGTTCTGACATATTTTATTTACCTAACTATAATTATTGGGCCAGATACTTGTTAATAAATGGGCTTAATGTCAACATGGATTTCATACATTCTATGTGGTTTAAAAACAGAGGAATAAAACTTTGGTTAAAAGTAGAAAAAGGAAAAGATATGCCTTAATCACATCAATTGTCAGTATTTTCTTAGTTCTTAACATAGCACATAAGGTAAAAATTCCATATCCACTTCTTTACTGGTGATTTGCAGTGGTTGCTGCTTGTACCTGCAGTCTATTTGCTAAAAATTTGATATAATTACTACTAGGTAAGTCTAACTTTAAGTGGCAATAGTTCTATTTTTCCTTTTATTCCGCTCTCCCTTTTTCTTTTTTGAGACGAGAGTCTCACTTTGTAGCCCAGGCTGGATTACAACAGCAGGATCTCAGCTCACTGTAACCCCCGCCTCCTGCCTCAGCCTCCCAAGTAGCTGGGATTACAGGCACTTCGACACCATGTCCAGGTAATTTTGTATTTTTAGTAGAGACAGGGTTTCACCATTTTGGCCAGGCTGGTCTTGGACTCCTGACCTCAGGTGATCCGTCCACCTCAGCCCCTCCCAAAGTGCTGGGATTACAGGCGTCAGCTACGGCGCCCAGCTCAAAGTTCTATTTTTCTTTGCCACTCTGGTCTTTAACAAGGTGGAAGATGTTGAGGTGGTGAATGTAAAAATAGGATGTTACCATGGAAGAAAATGAGAGGACTAGGGAATGAAACTTAAAAAAGGTCCTAATTTCCTCATTGTGTTACTGTTTATTCAGTAAACAGTTGTGCTATCTACTAGAGATGCAGAGATGATGCATAGTTAATATTTATTGAACACGACCAGGTGCCGTGACTCAATGCCTGTAATCCCAGCACTTTGGGAGGCCGAGGTGGATGGATCACCTGAGGTCAAGAGGTCGAGACCAACCTGACCTAAGAGGTGAAACCCCGTCTCTACTAAAAATAAAAGATCAGCCAGGCATGACGGCAGATGCCTGTAGTCCCTGCTACTCAGGAGGTTGAGGCAGGGGAATTGCTTGAACTCAGGAGGTGGAGGTTGCAGTGAGCCAAGATGGTGCCATTGCACTCCCGCTTGGACAACAAAATGAGACTCCCATCTCAAAAAAAAAAAATCTTTGAACACTTGCCATGTACTAGTTGTCACCTCATTTGAATCTTTACAATAAGTTGCTGGGCGTGATGGGCGTGGTGGCTCACGTCTGTAATCCCAGTACTTTGGGAGGCTGAGGTGGGCGGATCACCTGAGGTCAGGAGTTTGAGACCAGCCTGAACAACATGGAGAAACCCCATCTCTACCAAAAATGCAAAATTAGCTGGGCGTGCTGGTGTATGCCTATAATCCCAGTTACTCGGGAGGCTGAAGCAGGAGAATCACTTGAACCTGGAGCTTGTGGTGAGCTGATATTGTGCCATTGCACTCCAGCCTGGGCAATAAGCAAAACTCTGTGTATAAAAATTTTAAAAAATTAAAAAATCTTTACAATAACTTTAAAAGGTGATACTTTGCTCTCACAGATGAGGATGCTGAAATTTTGGAAGTTTGACTTTCTAAAGGGCAGCTGCTTGAAATCCGAACCCAAACCAACATGAGCATTCATTCTCTTAGCTGCTGGCTTATAGCTGCTTCCTCAGAGTAGCACACAAGACAAATTATTTTGTTTCTTTATAAATAAATAAAAGTGATAGGTTGGAAATAAAAGTAACAGTGCTTGCTAAGGTAGCTTTTCTGAGCACTTTTGTGCTTATTTCCTTATTTCTCATAACAACCTTATGTGGTAAATTCTATTATCCATATTTTGAAAAGAAAAAAACTGGCAAAAGTAACTTTCTCGAGGTCATACAGCTCTTAAGTGGAAATAGCCTGGGTGTCAGCAAGACTCAGTCTCAAAGAAGAAAGTATACTTCCTTTTTTGATAATAGAAAAAATACAGGTTTTGGAGTTAACAGGATGATTTTCAGTTAATCTCTGAGTTTCATTTTCTTCATCTGTATAAGTGTCTTATTACACCTACCTTGGTGAAGCTATAGGTCAGTAGGTAAGAGCAGACTATAGTTAAACTACTGGGTTTGGTTTTTTGCGGGGTGGGGAGGTTGTTTGTTTTGTTTTGTTTTGTTTTGAGACAGTCTCACTCTGTCACCCAGGCTGGAGTGCAGTGGTGCAGTCTTGGCTCATTTCAACCACAACCTCCCAGGTTCAAGCAATTCTCCTGCCTCACATTCTGGAGTAGCTGGGACTACAGTCATGTGCCAGCACACCTGGCTAATTTTTTTTTTTTTTTTTTTTTTTTTGTAGAGACAGGGTTTCTCCATGTTGGCCAGGCTGGTCTTGAACTCCCGGTCTCACGCAATCCACCTGCCTCAGCCTCCCAAAGTTCTGGTATTACAGGCCTGAGCCACCACGCCTGGCCAGACTACTGGATTTGTAACCCAGCTCCATCACTTATTACCCAGGATTTGGGCAAATTGCTTGATCTGTTGTTTAGTTTTCACAACTAAAATGGAGATAATAGTACCGACTCTGTAGAGTTGTGAGGATTAAGTGAATTAAAGTATGTAAAGCACCTAGAACAGTGTTGACTTATGAGAAATTAATATCCTAAATTAGGGAGGAAAGGGTAGCATTGGGTAAGCACATGAGCTATAGAAAATCTAGGAGAGGGCAAAAAGGACATGAAGTTAGAGGTTGAAAGTATTTGGGCCAGGCACGGTGGCTCACACCTGTAATCCCAGCACTTTGGGAGGCTGAGGCTGGTGGATCGCCTGAGGTCAGGAGTTTGATACTATCCTGGCCAACATGGTGAAATCCTGTCTATTAAAAATACAAAAATTAGCCGGGCATGGTGGCACACACCTGTAATCCCAGGTACTCGGGAGGCTGAGGCAAAAGAATCACTTGAGCCTGAGAGGTGGAGGTTGCAGTGAGCGGACCGAGATTGCACCACTGCACCCTAGTCTGGGTGACAGCAAGACTCCTCAAAGAAAAAAGAAAAAAGTATTTGGTGTTAAATCAGGCATGGCTGTACCTACAGTCACAGCTATTGGGAGGCTGAAGCAGGAGGATTGCTTGAGCCTAGGAGTTCAAGGCTAGCGTGAGCAACATAGTGAGATTCTACAAAATAATTTTTTTTTTTAATGTTCAAAGAAGGTATCTTGTGTTTTATATCAAATCCCTGCCATATATATACGGTGGGGTGGGGGACCAGGGGGAGATTATAGATTGACAGATAGATGTAGTAAGAAAAAAAATTATGTTTTAAAGGAAGAAAAATCTTCCATTTAGAAAAGTGGGGGAAAAGCCTGTTATATATTCCTTTAGAGACTTCACAACACTTTATAAAAATTATTAATTCATCATTTGGAGTAGCTAGGATGTAGATGTATCCTATATTATAAACATAAAACATGGCTTTGTCTGATGCGAGTTAATAGCAAAATACATTGTTAGATGTAATATTTACGTCTTTCAAAATTTGGTGTGGTTTTTTTTTGTTTTGTTTTTTGTTTTGTTTTGTTTTTTGTTTTTTTTTCTGAGATGGAGTTTCCCTATGTCTCCCAGGCTGTAGTGCAATGCCACCATCTTGGCTCACTGGAAACTTTACCTCCCGCGTTCAAGCGATTCTCCAGCCTAACCCTCCCGAGTAGCTGGGATTAGAGGCATGCGTCACTACTTCTGGCTAATTTTGTCTTTCTAGTAGAGACAGTTTTTCCATGTTGGTCAGGCTGGTCTCTAACTTCAGACCGCAGGTGATCCGCCTGCCTCGGCCTCTCATTGCAACTGCTGGGATTATAGTTGTAAGCTACTGATCCTGGCCTTTTTTTGAGATGGCATCTTGCTTTGTAACCCAGGCTGGAGTGCAGTGGCACAATCTTGGCTCACTGCAACCTCCACCTCCCAGGTTCAAGTGATTCTCCTGCCTCAGCCTCCCAAGTAGCTGGGATTACAAGGGTGCACCACCAGGCCCTGGTAATTTTTGTGTTTTTAGTAGAGACGGGGTCTCACTATGTTAGGTCAGGCTGGTCTCAAACTCCTGACCTCAGGTGATCCGCCCACCTCACTCTCCCAAAGTGCTAGGATTACAGGCATGAGCCACTGTGCCCAGCCACATCTTTCAAAATGTGTATGTATATTTAACAGACATTTAAAGTGCACTGAGATGTGCTGGGTACTGTCATTGGTGCACGTATAATAAGTCGTTAACCAGTGTGATGATCTTTTGTAAGGATTCACTTTGTGAACTCTGGAGAGTTTCATGGATAAGAGGTCCAATAAAGTAGATTACTGGTAGCAGATATCAATACAAAGCATCAACAACCTGTTAGTTTTTTGGCAATGTATTAAACTATGAACAGCTATGAAAAATACAAAATATTAAAAATTAAAGTAGAAGAAAACATCAAATTAGTGATCCATTAAATAGGTAGTGATGTACTTACTCTGCCACTAATCAGCTGGCTGGCTTTGGGCTAGTCAATTCTCTAAGCCACAGTTTCTTACCTTAATTCTCATCTATGAAGAAGTTAAATAAGATAAACATACCACTTGAATTTTTGTGTAGAAATAAATTTTCTCACTTCTCAGACCTCTAAGAACTACCTAATGGTCAAAGGTTTTGGCAAACTGGAAAATTACCTTTTGTGTCTAAAAGATAAAAATTAGCTTAGATAACTTGAATAATTAATTGTATTCACATATCTTACACAAAATATTTGATATATCTGAGGAATGGCTGGAGTTGCTAGGAAAAAGAATTTTAAGTTACTATGTTAAATTAACATTACCAGAATAATTCAGGATAAGTGGAACTGATTATGCTTTACATCTCAGAGATCACAATGATGAACAGGTACTGACAGGAACACTGAATTACAGATGTTACAAAAAAAATCATGTATCTAACTAGATTTTAAAATCACACTGAAAAAACGCTGCTTCATCTAATCAGATTATATTTTTTATTCTTAAAAACAAAATTGTAATGTGCCTTTGAAAGTTTAAAAAACAGAAACAGGCTGGGCACAGTGACTCATGCCGGTAGTCC